GTTCTGTATTTACTCCTTCTTCTTCGATTTTATTTAAACTTTACTTCCGAGCTTCTCTTGCGTTATAGGATCTATATGTAGAATTATTTTTTTACACATTGGTGTGTTGTTATATATTTTTAAATATCATTTTTTCTCTATGATAATATAAATATAAAAGCTCGCTATTATAACAGTATTCACCCGAAAACAAATTTTATAATTTGAAATCACGATTTTGATTAGAATTTAAAACGTAATCTTTAGCTTTTTACTTGAATTCAATTCATTCAAGAAAAATCACCACTCTGGAAGTAAAAGCTTGAAATTTTTTTTTGGTGGGGGGGGGGGGGGGAAGGGCGGTAGACTTTCTTCGGGGGTCGGACACTGTTAAAAGTATATATTTTCTATATAAATTATATAAATTTCATTTCGTTCGGGGGGGGGGGGGGGCGTAAGAATTTTTTCGGGGGTTGGGGGGCAAAGAAGAGATGCCTGGAAGAAACTCAGTAGCCATGTTAGCTTTTTACCTCGCACATATTAATATGATAAAATTATGTTTGGTGTCAAATATACAAGGGAAATAATTCTGTAATTATTGCGCTTTAGCTTTATTAAAGTACCGCCCCCTGTTTTTATCTGGAGAACAGAGTTAAAATAGTATTAACAAAAGAAATGTCATATACACATAATTTTGTTCGTGATTAACTTTTTTGTGTTGTTGATCATCATTACAGTAATCACATCATTGTGTATTATGTATTTTATATAAGGAAAGACTAAAAACATATTATATAACTATTGATTTTCGGTAAAACTCCCTTATTAAAATTACAAAACTACATTTTAACAAACAATAGATTTTCAAAAGATAACTTTAACTCCATTTTAGTTCAATGCAAATTTTTAAAAAGTTGGACGCTGTGGTCAATGCATGAGTAGATAAGTACATAGCTTGAAAGTGCAAATGTAATTCGTAGTCTGTAGGTTTTATTGGGTTCTACTAGATCAGTTGCGCACTTAGTTAGGTCTGCAGCATTTTTGCTATCCAACTACGCATCTGTCACACATGTATGACCACAATAGTTAGCCCTACTTATGAATTAAAAATGAAACTAAAGCAATGAAATTTATTAAGTCATTTGTAAGGGAAATTAATTAAATCTGAACATAATAATAAAAGACTCAGTAAACAAAATAATATATTTCAGTCACATCTGAAGCGAAGATAAATCTTTTTGATGAAATTTTGATGAATGTTTTTTGCAAGAAACTTGGTCGACCAAATCTTTCAAGACGGCAAATTTTCTCCATTACATGTTTTATATTAAAGTGTATATGACGTCGTTTTTCAGAGATTTTGTTGACTACATCCTACCTAACGACACATTTTCTCCATTACATGTTTTATATTAATGTGTCTATGTCGTCGGTCCCCAGAGACTTTGTTGACTACATCCTACACAACGACACAGCCAAGGATCTACTGGAGTGGGTCAAAGGAACGGGAGTTCCCGATGAAACGTTTTTCGCCACATTAAACCACAACCCACAACTTGGGATACGCGGCAGCTACAAAGGTAAGTTTAATAATAACGTAAAGAAAAGTGTGGCTCACTCCACCTCCCTTAGTGTCTCAGTACCATAAACACTAGGTCTAATTTGAGTGGAGACGCAGATCTTTATTTGATCGCCTCCCCAATTAGAGGATAGGAGAATGTTGACCAAATATGGAAGGTATTGCGGAAAGTAATTACCATATTGGGCTCAAAATCGGTAGCTATCCTGAGGAGCTGAAAAGTGATTACAGATGGGCTAACAACCCGGACATGTAACTAAGCGATGATAGTTTAACTAATTTATTCATTTTGTCCGATTCAAGTACCTATCTTTTATGATGTTTAGTTTTTTAAACATAACGTACGCTTTATAATAATATTTGGATCTCGTTTCAATTAATATTAGTTCTCCTTTCATCAAAAGTACTTTTAAGCTAATTTACATGGCCTAAAACATTACACTTCAACTTTTTTACCTCACAATCAAATTTTATTTCTGTTTTTATTTTACCATTTTAAATATTACGAAGTCTGACACACCAATGTAAGAGTTAGAGTAGTAATGAATACGATAAGTTTAAAATAACACGCCAATCTAATTACATTCCAGGTGAGCCTGAAACTGACGGTGAAATCAAACCATTTTTAGCAAGATATAAAAACTGGTTTGGCATGTATCCCTGCGCTGGTCAGTCGGTCAGAGGCATTTGTATACTATCAACAGGTAATAGATTTGTTAGTCACCTGTATACTATCAACAGGTAATAGATGTATTAGTCACCTGTATACTATCAACAGGTAATAGATTTGTTAGTCGCCGGTATACTATCAACAGGTGATATATTTATCAGTGACCTATATACTATCAACAGGTAATAGATTTATTACTCACCTGTATACTATCCACAGTTAATGACTTGATTATAGGCCCGTGTTTTTGTTGTTGCATTAGTAAAGTATTTAACAGTTGTTTTAGATGCATTTTATTTCATCATATAAGATACGCTTATACGATATAATATATCATCAAACGCTATAGATTGCATACATATAGTCGATTAAATGTTTCTTGTATAGCAAAGCTAAATACAGGTTGTTGCAAGTAAAATTTAATACGAGCTGAACCGCCCCCTAAGCATACACCGCTATTTAGATGTTTTATTTTTTACTTTTCAGTAATTCGTAATTTGTGAATTTGACACTACCCTCTCTTCCCCCTGCCCCCACCCATCATCTCCCCTCATCCCCACCCCCACCCCCCCCCCACCCCCGTGAAAGCAGCCGTCTGTGACGACAGTTCAAAGACGACAATAAAAAGATCAAGCAGAACTTCTTACCTCTCCTTAGTTTCAAATTGTTTAAAAGCTAAATTATCTGCCCCTAATAGCCGTCACATTGTAAACACTCGGAGTGAACGACAGCTCACCAGACTGGTGGGTTTGGGGTGGTAGCGATATGCCTAAAGAGTGGGGTAGAAACGATAAAGCCCTTACGTGGTGGTGTCTCGCATGGTCCCCATGTAGAGAGTTATATATATATAGATTAGTATATCCAGTGAAACATATTAACTATAAAAGCTAAGTATCTCTCATTGATTCTCATTGTCTCTCAGGTGATCTACCATTGCTTTACGATGCTAAACAACTTTTCGCCAACAAATTCTACCTGTGGGAAGATTTCCTATCTGTTGGTTGTTTGGAGGAAAAGTTGATGAACGACACGAGGGATGAATTTCTGGGTGTAAAGACATTTAACGTGTCTTATTATGAGAGTTTGGGGTTTGTGAAAAATAGCGTGGTATAATAAGAGCTTAAAACTAAAGACAGAACAAACACTAATTTATAAAGTAAACAATTTGCCATTGTATTTATTATAAAGTTGTATCTGTTCACATCATATTTTTTTGTGGGATGAGCCAATTTTTGTTTTTTTAATTTTAACCATTTTTTGTTCAATTCCCAATTACATTCATTAACGATGTCAATGTAATAATATATATTGTTTAATTTAATAAGCAATTAAGCAAGTTATTAAAATTTGATTTTAAAATTACACACACTCGATCAAATGGCCGTCGCATATTAATCATGGCTTGTTTATTTTTTTGCCTGAGCGTCGATCACGAACTAAGTGCTGGCTGTTAACTGTCTTTTAGAGATATCAAACTCAGAGGCATAGCGACCCTTACCGGCGCCCGGGGACAAACTTTCGATTTGCAACCTCCCCCCCCCCCCCCCTCAGGATTTCGATTTGCAGCCCCCCCCCCCAAACTTTCGATTTGCACCCCCCTCAAGCTTTCAATTTATTTTTCCAACCCATTTTAGTGCCCCCTAAGGTCGGCGTCCGGAGACATATGTCCCCCCCCTCCCCCTCGCTACGCCTCTGATCAAACTACTAGTCGAATTTAATATAAACGAAATTACTCACAGCACATGTGGAGTAAACTTATTTTTTTTTTGTATTAAAGAAAGCATTTTAATTTTTAATTTAAAAAAAATATATTTGAAACCTTTATTATAAAGCGGCGTCGAGCGAGTTGCATAAGAAACGTCAAACTGAGAGGGGGAATAGTTGTCTAGAGAGCGAGTGACGAGGTGAGGAACGTAGGCTCAAAAGTTGTGATGATATTTTTTGGCACTTAAATAAAGAAAGGAAGTGATTTTTCTGACTTAAAATTGTATTAAAAAATGTTTACATAAATTATAATATAAATTTACCTCTGTAACTATCTAAAAATAAAATCCTATTTTATTACGTTTACAAAATTTAGGCTGATGTAAGCTGATGTTTAACGTCATTTTATGTGAGGCTGACTTTTGTTACTGTGTGTCGTTGGTGGGTAAGGGAGGGGGTGTTGGAAAATATGTAAAAAGCGTGATGCGGTTTATGGAAGACCCCAAGGTTCCGGAATGTCAGTCTGATCGGCGTGGTCGAGTCGGTAAAGCTCATGGTTGATAAACCGAAAAGTCTCGAGTTCGAACCCTCGGGCAGATGAGGCTCGTTAGCTGGGGACAGCCACTCTTCTAGGAGAGACAACTCCAAATTTAAACAACTGCTGCCTTGTAGTTTGTTCTTGGTTGGACAAAGGCTATGGAAGCAAATCCAAACAGAAAAGCAGGCTGAAATCGACTACAGCAGGTTCTTATTGAACGTTGGGGAAGGTAAAGTACCTACAAATGAAAATGGGGAAATAGAATTACCGGAAGATATGGTCCTCAACAATATTTCTATCGAACAATGTATGAAAAACATATACCCTTCATTTGAAGAACCCAAGGTGGTATTTTCAAAAAGATGCATTTTGGTGCCATTGAATGAAAATTTAAGAACAATAAATTCAATGTGCATAAGAGAATTTCCCGGTCAGTTGAAAGAATATTTCTCTTTCAACTCTGTAATTGAAGGAACTGACTCTGCACATTTTCCCACTGAATTTTTAGATTCTGTTGAGTTGTCTGGTCT